CCCCCCCACATTCCCCTCTCCCTCCCCCCCCGCATTCCCCTCTCCCTCCCCCACCCCACCCATCCCCTCACCCTCCTTACACGCCTTTAATTACGCCCTTTCGCCACCGCCCCCCCCCCCCCCCCCCGCGCCCTTACGCTGACCGCGGCCCTCCCAGCGAGTGCCAGGCCTGCCCTTTGACCCCTGCGGTTAGCTGGTGCCGCACGTAACGGTCAACTCGGGCACCTCGGCCAGCCCTTAACCTTTCAATTTTCTCTTAAAATGGCAAATTAATAAAAAAAAATCAAATATAAAAAAAGAATGAAACAATCTTGAGCGTAAAAGTTCGCCACAAAATTCAATTCTTTAATAAAATAACTCAAGCTAAAAGTTTCTTTACCAACTAAATCTCGCCCCAAATGGAAGATTATCCACAGCAGTTAAAAGCAGACGAGGGAAATAAATACTAATCACAAACCTCACAACAACAACAAAAAATAAATAATAAAGAAAAAAAAATAAATGAAGAAAATCCGCTTCAAGATAAACAAAGAACACGCTTTTAAAAAATGTAAATAAACACACGCCAGGCACAGACACAAGAAGTAACCTTGTGACCAGCCATGTAAATAGGTCTAATCCCTCAGAACAATTTCCCTCGAGGCTCAGACACGCACAAAAGCTCCCTCGTCATGCACTATGCTCTATGTCGTCTTCTCACGCAAGCACGCATGTGAATATTCTGAATGCAGGCCTATGTCCCTTTGCCCGTTTTCTATGACTCAAGTCGTGTCCCTTTCTGTTAATATCTTGTACTAATTACTCTAAGGTTATTGGGAACTGTTCATGTCTTCGTCCCTTTTTGGGCGTCATTTTCATTTTCTCTCTCTCATTTTCTCATTCTCTCTCTCTCTCTCTCTCTCTCTCTCTCTCTCTCTCTCTCTCTCTCTCTCTCTCTCTCTCTCTCTCTCTCTCTCTCTCTCTCTCTCACACACACACACTGAAAGGAAAAGGCAAATGCACACAAACAAATGCCCACCAAAAGTCTCTACACCTTCACACAATGAAGAAATGGACTGCCTGGTACCTTATCGTGCAGAACCCAGGTGCCCCCGCCCCTTACAGGCACTCCCCTCCCCCCCTCCTTGGCACCCCGATCATCCCTCCCCCCAACTCACATCTGGAGCTTTTCCGCAATCGACACACATACACAGACCCTCCCTTGGAACACATGCTCGTGTAAACCAATAAACTTAACACACACTCACACACTAACACAACAATAAATAAAAAATAAACACACACACACACACACACACACACACACACACACACACACACACACACACACACACACACACACACACACACACACACGGAACTAACTTTCGAGTCCATTTCCCTAAATATTAACCCCACTCTACGCATTTCATTGCATCTGCTTCCTAACCCAACGCCCTTTTGCCTATCTACCCAACTCCAGCGCGTTTACCTATCCTTCCCTCATCCCTCGCACTCCCAAATCCACCTTCATCCACCTCCTCATCCACCTCCACCTCCTCACCTCATCCCCCCACCGTGTCCTTCCCCGGCGTGTCTCCGTACAAAGGTCTCGCCGATCCCACACTCCCGCCCTGTTTCAGCGGCAAAGGCAATAAACAATTTCTTCGTTAAAAGAGAGATCTTCCACAACTTTACGATCTCGGCGAAGCTTCTCGAGTTGCGGGTGGGTGGGTGTGGGGGTGGGGGTGGGGGTAGTGGGAGAGGGAGAGGGGAGTGAGAGAGGGTGGGAGAGGATGGTATGAGGAGAGGGAGAGGAAGAGGGAGAAGGAAAGCGAAAGGGAAAGGGAAAGGGAAAAGGAGAGGGAGAGGGAAAGCGAAAGGGAAAGGGAGAGGGAAAGGGAGAGGGAGAGGGAAAGCGAAAGGGAAAGGGAAAGGGAGAGGGAGAGGGAGAGGGAAAGGGGAAGGGAGAGGGATAGGAAGAGGGAGAGGAGGTAAAAGAAAGAGGTGGAAGTGTGGTAGGAAGGGAGAGGTGGGAGAGAGGGGAATGCGGGGGGGGGGGGGAGATGGTGCAAAAGGGGGGTGTAGGTAGGTGTGAGATAAGAGGAGAGGGAAAGATAAAAGAGGGAAATAAGGGGACAGGGGCAGAAGGCACAGAAGAAAAGATAGGAAGGGAAGGAGGAAGATGGGATTAAATGAAGAATGAGGAAGAGAGAGAAAGATGGGAAAACTGAAAGAACAGGGAGAAGGAAGGAAGATTAAAAATACGGGGAAAAGACAGGCGAAAATGGAAGTGGGAAGAGAAGGAAATGGAAGGAGACGGACACAGAAGAGGAAATAGTGGAGACAGATAAACAAAAGAGGGGAAGAAGAAATTACAGTGAAGACGTGAACAGTGTTGTCGAGTACGTTCGCCCCCTCTCTAAGTATTTTAGAGCAATTTACAGCACGTCTTATCTATGTACCCCTCTTGGGATGCATTAGGCTATCAGTCCGCATTTAAACACAGACACATAA